AAAAAGTTACTAACCTTATGCAATTAACAATGATTATCATCCTTTAATATCATAAAACTTAGTTAAAGAGGTTCTAAAGAAATTTTTTTTTAATTGATATTTTTATTCATAATAATAATTACAAATATTATGCATAAATTTACCAATGTTTTTCAAATACATATTATAAAAAAACCGTTGCTTATTGGAGTTCAAAAACCCAAAATAACACATTATTTATTAAATACATATGAAATAAAACCCAGCACAGTGGGGTCGCGGCATTGTAGGGATATTGCATAGTTAGGTCCAGTATAGATTTATTCTGACAGTGATAAAATCACTATCATAAGAAACGCTTCGATGCAAATCTATAGATAGTGTTTAAAAAATTTATGGACAAAAGCAACATCAACTTCTATTTTCTTAATTATACCCAGATTAGTAATTCTTTTAATTATATATTATATAATTTTTAAAATTAATTGTTTTAAAATTATTATTGATTTTGATTTTTAATATGTTAAAAGTAGTCATTTTGAACCTACTTTTTTTTTTCTTTTAAAGTGAAAGTTTTAATAAAAAAAAAAAATGAAATTATTACCATAACTTTTAGCTCAACTTGCAAGTTTGAAATTGACATTATTAAATAGAAAAAAATGAAATTGTTAAGATTAATATGCAATTAGGAAATTTTATAATTACTATTTACAGTACATTTATCAGAAAAGTTCGATTTTTTTTACATTTTTATCGTAATAGATCACTTAAATAGAAATCATAATAATCATTTCTAATTAACTTTTGGTGTGTAAAAAGATTCTACAATGGAAATATTTAGAACTTAATTAATTTTGATTTACTTTAACTAAAGGAACCAATAAAAAAAAGTTGTTAAAAAGATTTACTCAATTGAGCGTATTATAATATTTGGTTATAACTGTAAAAATCCATCGTTAAATTCAGGTGAAACTAAAAATCATTTTTTTTTTTAAATTTATGATTTATATAGCAACATGTTACAAAAAAAATTGGAATATTATAGACTGGTAGTAGCACATACAAATAGATTTAAAAAATTAATAAATTACAAAGTAAAATTATTTACTATTGTAGTTGAATACTTTTCTCATATCAAATCTAATTCGAAAATAAATACTTTAAGAATATAACAAATTAATGATTTTAATTGTTTGTATATAGAGTGATAACTTAAACTAAATATAGACAATTTTTTAGGAGATATTATTTATATCTCTTGGCTGTCATTATTAACTTTGGTCATGGCTTTCTCAATTTATAAAATTTATCCAATGTTTATAAAAGTAGACGTCATGGGTTTACCACCTCCAATACCTCCTAAATATCAAACATAATTTCTGACTACTGTTATATTGTTAGTTTTTTTCCTCTCTTTTGTCTTTTCCTTTCTCTTTTAAATATTTACAATTCTATTAATACACTAATTAACTAACCACAAATTAATAGTATAAAAACCTACACAAAGCGAAAAACCATTTAATGAAGATGGCTCCAAAGATGGCAAACCAAATGGAGTATTCCATCTTCNATGGCAAACCAAATGGAGTATTCTATCTTCCAGTAAATAAAAAAAAAAAACCCCGATTGGAAAGAGACTCAACTAAGCGGAAATGGAAACCACACAAGGAAAGAATAATAATAAAATGGATGTCATAAAATCAACTCTACACTTCATTTATCAAAATTAAACTGCTAAATATTTTTAATATTATTGTATCTTTGACTTAATCTTGTACCCTTTCAGATAAATTTAGAAAAATATATAATTGCATATACATAACAATAATAATAAAATAACTTTGAATTTCAAATTATTATAATGATTGTAATTAAACAAAAAGTAAATTTTCATAAATCAGTCCAATAATTTCCTATCCTCTATAAAAAAAAAGAAGAAGTTAAAAAATAAATCGATTACAAATAATCGATATACATGAATATTAATAATAAAATAACATGTAAAGAAGTGAACGTGTTTATGAATGACAAATAAGATACTCTATTAAATGTAAACACATAAAAAAAAAAAGTAGTTCACTGTCTTAAAGATATACTTAACTTTCACTACACAAAAATTTCAATTTTTCTTTCTATTTCCCTCCTTTTTATCCTTTATTATGGAAATTTACTAATTTAAAATATGAGGGCATATTTTTTACTTCAACATAGGGGAGTGTAATATAGGTCATTATTTTATAAAACTGAAAANTTTACTTCAACATAGGGGAGTGTAATATAGGTCATTATTTTATAAAACTAAAAACAAAGCATTTTTGTAATGTTTGGTTTAACTATGAATTTCTTAATCTATTATTACAAAAATATAATATAGTTTATTATTTGTAAACCTAAAAGTAGAACACTTATGTAATGTTTAGATTAATTGTAATTCCCCAAATTATTGTTACTAGACCAAGAAGTAAATATTTATTAACATTTTTGAAAATGATTACTATATGAATTTTATAAAAAGACAAACAAAATATTTTAGTATATAAGATGAAACGAATTGAATTAAAAGGGGAGAGAGAGAAGACCTCGGGAATACCGAAGGTAATCTCTTTCGTGTGGTACGTTTGTTACATTAAGTTTTTATTTTGGTGTATTATTTATTTATCCGGTTTTAAGTGTATCAATAATTTTTATGTTTTATTTTGATTTATTATATCTTTATTAACTACATTTTGCGTTATTATTGAACTACTATAACTATAAGTTAGAACAAAAAGATTGTTCCATATTTTAAATACAACAAAGTCATAATATTAATACAACAGATGGGTACACCATAGTGTACCTTAGGATTTAGTGGAAAGAAAAAAACTATTTTTAATTTTCACATAACAAAAAAACGAACCTCTTTTATTAAAAAACTTTTTAATTAAAAAAACCGTTGTTCTTGAAGACTGGAAAATTCCACTTTAAAAAATTTCAGCTATTACAACTGATAATGGTACTAACATGATCAAAGAAGTACAACTTTTGGAATTATTTCATGTTAGCTGCTTTGGGCATACTTTGAATAATGGTGTTTCAGCTGCTCTAAAACTTAAATCAGTAAATTATATATTTGAAAGGTTACAAATATATAAAAATCAAATTAATTGGCCGCAACGAGAAATTTGTAACTTTCATGGCGTTTTACAAAATTATAAGTATAGGGTCGCCAACCTACTGGGCGAGACAGTATATTGNATAGGGTCGCCAACCTACTGGGCGAGACAGTATATTGTCGGACCACAGTAGGATTTTTTTTTTTTAAAAAAAATTAACTTTTTTATATTAAAACAATTAGACAAAAAATATATAATTAATAAACATTAAAGTTGATGTCCGTTGAGTCGTTGATAGTAGATGTACACCAAAACCTCGTGACAGTTGTCACATAACCATATTAATGAGGGATGACCTTATACAAGGCCGTTGCCCGTACCTTATAAACTAGGGGAGTAGATTTTTGAAAGGAGAAAAAAAATACACGAGTCCATTGAAGATGGAACACGCAAAAAAAGAAGAAACAGATGATGGTTAANTATAGGTTTGGCAGCGTTTTTGTCAACAGAAGTTCCAACAGTCAATGCCAACCCACACCTTGATCTAAACTCGGTCGAATTTTTTTTTAAGTTACTACAATAAAAAGAGAGAGACATTTAAAAGATCTACAATTGTGTGACTGCTACTACATATTGGTTAGTCCTAATAGTCTGATATGTTTAATAAATTGTTATTTAGGTCATTATGTTTATATATCTATTTAGTTTAGTATTTATGTTGTATGATTTTATTTGCTAGATTGAATTTTTTACTAATTATTTAAATTGTTATACCTATATTTTGGTTATTATCCAATTTATTTATTAATTATGTTGATGTTAATTGTTTATAAAAAAATTGTTCCTATAAGATAAAATGTTGAAATATTAAATTGTGATTTTTTTTAATATTGTTTTTTTGTATGTTGCAGTCTTAAATATTATGTAATGTTTGTATTCTCCCCCTGAAACTCTCATCTGGTGTGTGAAAACTTCTCAACAACCTCAACTGTCTCTACAAGTGAATTATGGTCCAAGCTCAAATACTGTTGTAACTCTAATTGGGACATCCAAGGGGGAGTATGTTTGAGTCCGATAAAAGAATTATCAATCTAGTACATGTTCACCTCTAGTTGGTAATACTGGATATGGTGTAATACCCACTTGTACCGTTGTTATCAGCTGCTGTTGCTGTTGTCAGTAGNCTTGATCTAATTACTAAATTCGTTTCATCCATTAGGCGGTAAGCATGTACAAAGGGTCAGTTTTTCTAATTTTTTTAATTTGTAGTTGCTCGTTGCTGTAATCTACGATTTACCGGTATACGATTTTAAGTAGGCTTTATTATTATAATCCTTATACTTACATTAGTGATGGTAAACTGCTATTTTTTTTTAACATCTGCTAATGCTATTGCTATTTTAAAATAGCAGCTATTGCTATTTCGTAAAAACAGCTCGTAGCATAATGCTTATCATTAATTTTTAGTTATTAGCAGGTAATGTTTATAGCAATTAGCAGTAACACTGTAGAAATCATTATTTTCGTTAGGGCCAGGGGCTCAAGGCATTGATGGCGGGCAGTATGATGTATAATTTATTCAACTGGTGTATGATACTATGATATTCAACGGTTCTAATATTACATTAATATATATATATATATAATGTTTAAGCCATGTTAGTGTGAACCATTTGGCATAAACATATTAATAATTGTAGACTGAAAAATAATGTGAACTTCAATTAACAATCATATTTATGGGCTTTATTTCAAAAATATTTTTTCTAAATGATTAAAACGGACATTAGAATTTGTACTATTTAACATGATTATAATAAATATTAGATTTCAAGAATTATCAACTCTAAATTCAAGCAAATTGAAAATTGTAATTGGTCAAAAAAGCAAAATGTGTTTGGACTTTATTTTTTAGGAAATTTTATATTAATTCCTTATATTACAATNAATAAATAGACGACGAGATTGAAACTCACTACCGTCGGTCGTCTCGACAGTAGATCGTTTATAGTTTTCCGACGTGTGCTGGTATTTACACGGTGGTTTGCATTTAGTAGCCTTATCTTTGAATCGGTAATGATAATAACATGTATCATATCGTGGTCGTGAATTGTCTCGGCGCATAGGTGATTTTGAGTGACGCCTATTGTAGCTACGAGAGTTGCTGTTGCTAAGTCGCTCTACTGCTTGTGCGAGTGCTGCGATCTGGTGTTCCAATTTTCTTATTGTCGTTGCATCGTCAGCTTGTTCATGTGACTGACGGTTTGTGACCTTGTCACTAATGTTGGCAATGGAAAAACAATCATTTCGGCTGTCCGATACTTCGATAATTTTATCTGCCATCGAAGCTAAGTTATCCAACTTGTCGTTGCTAGCTGAAATGATAGTTTTTACCTGATGTGGTAACCTTTGTATCCATAGTATTTTGAGTATTTCATCAGTTACTTTTCCATTAGCTAGTTGACGCATTTCTGAAAGAAAATGGGATGGTTTCCGATCACCGAGTTCGACTTCGGTCAGTAATTTTTTAAGCCGACATTGTTCAGATTCGGAAAATCTTTCGATGAGCCGGGTTTTTAATGCTTCGTACATTTTCGTTTCTGGTGGATTGAGTATTATGTCACTAACTTGAGCAAGAATTTCACTTTCCATAGAAGAAACAACATGATGAAATTTACTTGCGTCAGCTGTAATTCTGGTTGTATAAAAAACGGATTCAATTTGTTTGAACCAAAGTTCTGGGTTGGTACGCCAGAAAGTTGGGATTTTAAACGCTCGCGTTGAATTCATATTGGGCTCGCCGTATTCGATATGGTCTCGGCCATCATTACCGGTCGCGTCGTCACGCACACTTACTATCGTACTATCGGATTTGTTGTTCATTTTAGAGGTCACCAATTTGTAGTGTTTTGGTGTTTATATTTATTACAAAATACTACAATTAAAATTTATAATAATTAATACTTTTTAATAATGAAAAATAATTTTATACGTACATAAAAAAAGAGTACAAATAAAAAGTGTCACTGGATTGACGAACAGCGCGAGAATAAAAAAAATACACGGAGTGTTATCGTACTGCAGTACATCTAAGATAAAACATATAAACATATATAAAAGCATTCATTGTGACATGTTATTTAACATCTTTGTTAATCCCTACAAAGCTATGTTAAGTATGTTTCATAATTAAATGTATGAATGAAAAATATAAAAATAAACAATAAAATTCCATTTCTAGACTGGTATTAACATGTTGAAATATACCAAATCTTATGTCTATAAGATAATACAAATATTAAAATGAAGCACATTCTTCTTCTACATATCATAGGGTATAGTTGATATATTTGATTGTTTTTGATAGTTTTATTAACACGCTTATATTAGTTTCACCTGTATGTATGTATGTTTGTAACTCTCCAAACGCCACGCGTTATCGCATATTCCGTCGTCTAGACTAGACTGTCATAACGCATTCACCCCACTCCACGCCTCGCTCATCACACGCTGGCAATACTATTCCTGTTTAAATTTATTTTTGGTTATCGTACCCGTATACACGTGCGTCATCAATATTATATATACGGGATGATTTTTTTTATCATAACCCACTCAATTACTTACAGAATAACAATAATTAAAATTTTTTTTTTATTATTATCTTTAGTTACACATTATTTTTGAATTATTAACTATGTAATACTTTTTAAGTTCATCCCTTATGCCTGGTAAGGGTGTCAACTTTGTTTTTTTAAAAGGTAACGCATATTTTTAATTTAATAAAATTCAATAATAAATGGCATTTCAATTTTTAATAAAACTTAATTTGTTTATTAGATATAAATATTTAAAGTTTCAAATTTTTGAGTTAATACCTATTGAGGTGTGGCTGAGTGGGATAGACAAATAAAATAATCGAACTAATTAAATGTAATTTTTAATTATCGACACATGACATCGAATTGAAAAAGAAAAAGAAAAAGTTTCTAACCTAAAAATAAATATAATAGTAGATAACAGGTTGGATTGCTATCTCGATACACCTCAATACAACCTGGATACAAATAAATATAATAAAAAAAAATAAGTAAATGAACAAGTAAATAAATAAGTCAAGCTAATGCTAATAAATTCCTAATGATAATGTATGTTTAGAAAAAATTTGTGATGTTAGGGGTTTGGTAAAAATATCTGCGACTTGGTCCTGTGAAGGAATGTAAGAGAGTGATATTGCTCCGTTGTTGATTGCTTCTCTTAGGAAAGAGTACTTCACATCAATATGTTTCATACGCTGGTGTTGTCTCGGTTGTTGTGTAATGGTGATACAGGCTTGATTATCTTTATGTGTTGTTAATTGTTTAATATAAATTCCCAGTTCTTCCATTATTCCGCGAAGCCACAATGCTTCTGAAGCAGCACTCGCTAAAGCAATGAACTCCGCTTTGGTCGATGACAGGGATACCGTAGGCTATTTTTGTGATCTCCATGAGATGAGTGATCCATACACTTTGAAACAATATCCAGATATAGATGGTCTGTCTTGCATATCGTTTGCCCAGTCTGCATCGGCATATCTTATGATTGGCTCATCGTCGCTTTTGAATACTAGTTTTGCATTGATAGTGTGCTTAATATATCTTAGTATTCTTTTAAGATGGATCCAGTATAGTTCGGTTGGTTTTACTTGAAATCTACTAAAGTAATTGACTGCATAGCAGATGTCTGGTCTCGTTGCAATGGCAGCATACATAAGTGACCCTACTAGTTCTCTGTATGGATTCTGTGTTACTTTACTATCTTGTTCATATAACTTGAGATTAAATTCCATGGGAGTACTAATTGGTTTGCAGTTGTCCATGGAAAACTTCTTCAGTACTTTAGATAAGTACGCAGCTTGGTCAATTGATATTGTATCATCCTTTAAGTTGCGTTGAATGTTGATACCAATGAAGTTATGACATTCTCCATAATCCTTCATGTCAAACTCCTTACTCAGTTTTGACTTAATGTCTTCTATCTCAGCGATGTTGTTACCCGTAATAAGAATATCATCTACATAGATGGCTAAGTAGATATTGTTATCTTTGCTCTTATACAGACAGTTATCTGACTCAAGTTTTTTGACATCATTGGACTCCAGGAAATTGTTGAATCTCTTGTTCCATTGACGTGATGCTTGTTTTAGACCGTATATTGATTTCTCTAATTTACATACAAGTTCAGCGCTTCCTTCTGTGTATCCTTCAGGCTGCCTCATATACACCTCCTCACTCAAATCACCGTTGAGAAATGCTGTGGTGACAGCCATTTGGTGTATAAGTAATTTTCTTTTGTTTGCGACAGCGAACAGTAGTCTTATGGTATTTATATTTGCAACTGGTGAATAAGTTTCAAAATAGTCCACCCCTTCCTTCTGTGCAAAGCCTTTTGCGACCAGTCTTGCCTTGTACCGATTAACGTTGCCTTGACTGTCATACTTTAATTTGAATGTCCATTTGTTTCCAATTGCTTTTCTTCCTTGAGGTAGTTTGACTAGTTTCCATGTTTCATTCTTCTTTAGTGAATTGATCTCTTGTTGCATTGCCTCTTCCCATTCCTTGTGATGTTTACTGTATTTTGCGGTTTCATATGAGGTAGGTAAGTCATCTACGATTTCTTCAGCTGATAATGCCATAGAGAAAGAAGTTTGATAGTCTTTGAGCCAATGTGGTTGTTTTCTTGTTCTCATAGTTCTTTCCATCTTGGTATTCTTGATATTATGTTCAATTTTGTTTTCTTCACTTTGTTTTTCAATTGTTTCTTCATCTTTGACACACTCATTTTCATTTGTTTTCTGTATTTTCAGTGTGTGATCTGGTTTTTCTTCTTCATGATAAGGTTCTTCTTCAATTTCAATGTTGGTTTTTGTTGATTTATTGGATTCATCAAAAACAATGTTTCTACCACAAGTTATTTTTCTTTTCCTATTGTCCCATAATCTATAACCATGGTGGGTGTAACCAACATGTATGTATACTTCTGATTTAGCATCAAACTTGTCTCTTGTGTGAGGTGGCTTTAATAGATATGCTGTACAACCAAACACTCTTAAGTTACTTATGTCTGGTTTATGACCGTACCACATTTCGAATGGTGTTTTTCCATGTAGTGCGGTAGTGGGTGACCTGTTCGAAATGTAAGCAGATGTTCGAATGGCCTCATTCCATAATTCCTTATTTAATCCGCTATCCAAAAGCAGTGTTCTACATTTTTCTGAAATGGTTCTGTTGAGTCTCTCTGCGTGACCATTCTGTTGAGGTGTATAAGGTGTCGTGCACTGTAGCTGTATCCCCTNGTATAAGGTGTTGTGCCTGTAGCTGTATCCCCTTTTCTTCACAGAATTGTAGAAATGTTTTTGAAGTGTACTCTCCACCATTGTCACAACGCAGGCAAACCAATCGATTGGAAAAGTGTGTGGTGGCAAGAGCTTCATACCTTTTAAACATCATTAAAGCATCCGACTTGTGTTTTAAAGGATAGACAACAGTGAAGTGAGTGAAATCATCCATAAAGGTAATATAGTATCGCTCACCCATCCAGCTGGTTGGAGTTATTGGTCCACATATATCTGTGTGTACCAACTGTAGTGGACGATTTGCTCTGGTTCTGTCCTTAAAAGGGAATGGCAGATTGTTTTCCTTGAATGCATATAGAGCATCCTGTTGTATGACAGTTATTTCCAATGTTTATTCCATTTGTTAATTTTTGAAGTAAACTTAAATATTTGTCAGACAGATGTCCCATTCTCCTGTGCCATAATATTACATTTTCATAACTATTGTTAATGTTCTGTGCCGAGAAAGTTGAACTTACTTTATGGGTAATATCAAACGTTAATTTGTACAGATTACCTTGTCTAGTACCTGAAGCTATTTCACCGTGTGTTAGTTGGAGATTGTGACATGTCCATTTTTCAATGTTATATTTAAACCAGCCTTTTCAATCTTTCTAGCTGATAATAAATTATGTCGTAAGTTTTGAACAAATAAAACTTCTTTAATTGTGAATTTTTGCACTCCATTATCCTTTGATTGAAATTTACAATCAATTTGACCGATATGTGTGGCATAAATATTGTGACCGGCTTTTGCTATTCCAATTGATATTTGTTTTGTTAACGGCTCGTATTTAGTAAACAGTCTTTTATCATTAATAAGATGGTCAGTTGCGCCACTATCCAAAACCCATGTGATTTTTGATTTGTTCTTCCATGATTCGGTTGATAAGGTGTGATCATTTGTCGAAAATGCAATGTGTTCACTATCATGATCAGACTCACTACCCAATGTGTAATTTACGTTACGATTTTCTCTAGGTTTAAAATAACGCTGTTGACGTTGTTTTTGTTCCCTTTTCATTTTTCTACATTGGAACTGTTTATGGCCGGGTTTTCTACAGTAATGACATAAGATTTAGTTTAAATTTGACCCAAACGCTGTGGGATTATGAGTATGAGTTCCGCTGTCTTGAGATGTTGACTGACGTTTTGCGACTTCGTCTAGTAGTCTTCTTTTCACAAAATTCATAGTGATTTTGTCGTCGGCGAGCGTTTCTATCGCTGTCACTACAACGCTGTACGACTCTGGCAGGGTTAGAAGTAAAAGGCAGGCTACTGTTTCTTCTTCCAACTTACAACCTGCTGATTTCACTTGTCTATATGCATCATCAAAACGTATCAAAAATTCTTCCATGGACTCATCTCGTTCATTAAATTTCATTGTTAGAATTTTCTTCAACAGATATAACTT